TAAATGGCTTAGGCAAAGACTTAATTGGCATTTCAGTTTGAATAAGCACAGGACAGTGGTCTGAGACCCCTAGGGACTGAGTATGCACAACACTGTGTTCCATCACATCCAACCACTCCACATTAACAAACACCCTATCTAATCTTCTAGCAATAGGATCAGTTTGCCTCTTGTTAAGCCACGTGAACCACGGCCCTGTAGACTTATGCTCTTCCACCTCCAAATCCCTTAACCAGTCATTAAAAGCCCTCATACTAGTAGAGCACTGAGGTGCATTAGAACCTTCACTTGGGTTTCGAATAGCGTTATAATCCCCCACAAGTAACCAAGGGAAGTTTACTACTTTTAATCTAGAAACAGCAGCATATAGCTCTTCCCGCTGACCCTCACTGTTAGAGGCATACACAAACGTAGCAAAAAAAGGCACCTTACCACCAATCAGGATATGAACAAACTGTTCAGAACTGGCTATGATTGTCAGCTGGATCTCCGGTTGCCACACTAGCCAGATTTTACCCAAACCTTCATTATTAAAGAAGACTTTCTGGCCCCAACCAACAAATCTCTTACCCTTCAGTCTAATTGCTTCCATTCTACTCACCCGAGGCTCCAGTATAGCTATAATATCTAACCTATCTTTATTAACTTTATTTAGTATAGCAGTATAGTTTTTCTCCGCACAAACCCTCTTGTGTTCCATGAGAGAATCTTAATTTACGACCCCTTCCTCTCCCACCACCTTTTCTCCCCTTTCTCTTGTTTACTTGTATATCAGGAGGCTCAATCCAAATCTTCTTACCTTTATCAGGAGCAATCAAAGGAGTTCTATTCTCTTTATCAATAATAGCAAATCGGGAGCCAGTCTGAGTAGGCCGAGCAGTCATCTGTGGTAGCAAGCTCCCTTCCACAAAAGATGGTTGACCACCAACAGATAATTGCTGAGGAGTGTTAGGGCTCCCAGCAGTAGCTGATGACCCCTTCACCACCTCAGCAAAATTGACTCGAGCCCCCCCCCCCCCCCATTTGGTGCAGGGGAGACCACTTTCCCATCATTTTGAGTCACCTCTGGACTGCCCTCTATTACAGTAGAAACTTCATTCCCAACATTTTGGACATGCTATGGAGTCCCCTTAGTCGGTTCCTTCTCAATTACCTCATCAGCCAAGCTTTCCATGACACACTGAATTACTGACTCCTGCACCTGCCTAAGCAATTCCTCTACTGAAACAATCTCCTCGTCAGCCTTGCCCTGAGCCACTGGGGTTTCCACCCTCTTGGGCTTTGGAACCCAAACTCTTTGAGGACCTTCCTCACAATTGTGCCCGAAGACACTGCACTTAGAGCACACCTTAGGAAGGTTACTATATTCAATTCTGATTTCAAATGAAGGATCCTCATTTGGATAGACCCTAATGGAAGAAGGAAAGGAGTAATCGGCAGAGAGCTCAACACAAGCCCTAGCGAAACCTAACTGACCCCCACCCTCGTTTTCTGATCCACCCAAAGTGGCTTCCGTATCATGCTCGTCACCCATTCCAACCCTTCAGGTGCAAGATACTCCAAAGGAAGTCCCCAAATCCTTACCCAAATAGGCAATGTCTCGACCTTCGGGACAATCGGTTGAAAACCTACCTTCCATTTCCGAAAGAAGATCGGATTACCTCTGAAGTGCCAAGGCCCTGAATGGAAAACCCAGTTTCATGCGGCAGCAGAAGGAAATTGGAACACCAGAAGTTTGCTCCCAAACTTTGACACTCTGACGATACCATCGCGTCCCCAGAGCGCATTCGCCGAGGTCTGTAACTCCGATGTCTTCGGCCTAGTCCCTACAAACTGACCAATAAGCGAATTCTTCCACCGCTCCGCTCCTTTCTCCTTCACCTCCTTCGGAAGACGAAATCCATCTTGATACTTGATCGGCGGCCGATATTGGAGTCGATTCTCCGGAACAACCTCGAACAGTTGCGCCCAGGAACTGCCCTCGCCAGCCGGAGCAGCCGACGGCGAGGCGGACATCGAAAACCCTAGTCGCCCGAGAGAAGAGAGAGAAGAGAGTATCCCAAACATGCTGAAATTTGAAAACCTTTTATTTTCAAATAGAAAGTTTAAAAGTAAAGAATAATTAGAGTTTGGCATGGGTCGGTCAAACATGCTGAATTTCAAGTTTTGGCCCGTTTTGATCAAGTCTAATTTATAATCACATGGTTCCCTGATACCCGATAAAAACCTCAATACAAACCAATTTGGCAAGTGAGTTCGTGTTTACCACCAGTTTCTAGGGATACAAGAACGGTGGTTCCTATCCTAAATCGTGTTGTTCATTCTTGATTTCTTTAGATTTTATCATGGCTTGGCAAAAAATCAGAAAGCACAATGATGACAAGATGAAAGTTTTATAAAGCAAATTAATCGGTCAACGGGCCGAGTAAAAGCTAGCAACGATTGTGAGATGCTCATTTCCCGAAAACCGGCGGGATAGGCGATTTTTTATTCGATTTTCTGGAATTTGGTTTCTATAAAACTTACTCCACCTCATCATATTACCAGAAACAATATTGTTTCACAAGGTAACAGGTACTTGATTTTGGTTAATAAGGCTGATTTTTTATTCGTTGCATCATTCATGTCTCTTTCCTACTAAAATTCACTATTTTTATAGTGTTTCCCCCAAAAAAAAAACTATACAACAATAAGCTATACACCTCATTACATTATCAAATTTCATACCTCACCTTCCTCCGGCCAAATGATCGGGGCCCACGCTAGTTGGTAATATACTTCAAAGTTATAGATTGGTAATTTACTTTTATACGAAAATAATACTCTATCCGATACAGTGGCAGACCCAGGATTGTCGGAGAGGTGTGTCGTCGATAAAATACAATAATAATTAAATTAAATTAAAAAATAAGTAGAAAGTAAAAGAAATTAATTCATAAAGTTCACAATGTCATATTTACAACGAACTACGACGACTTTTTATCTGCTGAAATGTCTCTAAAATACATTCATCACTTATTCTGCAAAGCAAATCTTTTTCAATATACACAACTAAACAATCATTCATAAATTGGTCACTCAACCGATTTCGAAGATCGTTCTTGATTATCTTCATAACTAAAAATGCTCTTTCGTAGCTTGCAGTTGTAACAGGTAATGATGGGGAGTTAGTGGCCGCTTGGGCTATTGGCCATTAGGCCTGTGGGTTTTTTTTCTCTTTTAATTATAGACCCAACACACATCACACATGTATATTGTATGAACTGAGATTTTTTTAATAGGAATTTATAGGGTTATAATTTATTAGTTATTTTAAACAAAATTAAAAAGGATTATAATTTAGATTGATTCATTTGGATAATAAATTATTCGAGTATGATGAAGGTGTGTCGGCTATAATTACTGAAGGTGTGTCGGCTATCTTGAAATAAAAAAATTTGTACCAAAAATATGTAGGTTCTTCGTAAAATTCTCGAGCAAGGGTGTGTTGGACGACACACCCTCCCTTGCCTTAGGTCCGCCACTGATCTGATACCAATTTCTAAAACACAAACTCATAGTGAATTATAAGTTCACAATATTTAATGTTTGTCAAATGATCAATATATTTATTTTTTTATTTTTTTAACCGAATGATTAATATTAGACCAACCTCCGAAAAAAAGTTAACACTAATAGTAATTTTTTATTTTCAGATTCCAACTCAGGGTTTGGGTTTTGTTGTCATCCCAATTGCATGAGTCTTTTGATAGCAACTATTTTGAAATTAAACAATTGTGATTGTTGTTTTTTAGTTTGACGGATCATTACATGTTTCGTCTTGGCATATTCTCATTTTGTGCAAAGCTCTCAAAATCCGAACCCTGAACTGCAAACCCTACGCCTTCAATCCTAAAATCCTAAACTGAACCCTAAGCCATAAACCTTATATCATGAATCATAAACTGAACCCAAAATTCAAAATCCTAGAATCGAACCCCAAACCCTAAACATGAACCTTAAAACCCTAACCCTCTTTAATTTACAACTATCCTCTAAAATCCTAAACCCAAACCCTGAACTTGAACTCCAAATCCAAATTCCTAACACAAACCCTGAAAAACAAAACTACAAGTACAATTTAGATATAAATTTAATAAAAAATTAGCCAACTAATGTCGGGACATGTCAAAAACTCATCCCAAATATGTTTGGGACATGTCAAAAATTTGTCCCCTACATGTTTGGTATATATGGAAAACCTATCTCGAACAGGTCGGGGAGATGTCGAAAAACCCGTCCCGAACATGTATGAGACATGTTGAAAATCCGCGTCGTTCGCTTTTCAATTTTAAATGTTTTTTTTAATCTTTTTTCTCATATTGAGTGTAGCTTTATTTTGTTATTTTGTTATTTGTTGTAGTTGTATATGTTTGTTTTAGTGTTTTGAAAGAGAAAAATTAAATTAAGGACATTAAAACAATTTTAATTAATAAAAGTTAGGATGATCAATAAGGTGTTTCCGTGCAACCAATAATAATTATGTCCATATGTTAAGATTTACGATTTCTTATTATCATATTAAAAAAAACAAAATGATGAAAATCCGTGACGATATCAACCAAACGAACGCGCGCCATAAATCATCCCATTCCCATAGAGCCCTTTTGGAAAGTTGAAATTGGATGGTAACCGGCGGCAAGGAGAAGATTAAAATCAGTTTATAAAACCGGACAATTGGAAGAAAAGGATAATACGAAAGAGGTTGGGAAGGAAATCGAAAAGGGAAGGGCGGTTCTAAATGGGAGACAAATATCGTCATCTTAAGAGGTAAAAAAGCCGTCACCGTCTGCCGCCGCTGCTTGTTCTCAACCACAACCAGGAGGAAGCCGGTGCGGAGGGCTTCACGGAGCGAAAAAGAATCGAGATTTGCTGCCTTAAATCCGCCATCAATGTTTTAAACTTCGAGGGGTCTTGCCTCCTGACACTTTTCTCATCGCCAGGGGGCTTCGACAGAGTAGATGGCGATGAATAGAAAATCGGAGAAATTTTATGCTGATTTTGTTATGGGAGGGACGGCAGCGGTGGTTTCCAAGTCTGCTGCGGCACCAATCGAGCGTGTGAAGCTTTTGTTGCAGAATCAAGGTGAATTGATTAAGAGAGGGCAGTTGAGAAGACCCTATGTGGGCATTGGGGATTGCTTCAGCCGGGTTTTGAAAGAAGAAGGCTTTTTGTCATTTTGGAGAGGTAACCAGGCCAATGTCATTCGCTATTTCCCAACTCAGGTTTATTTTCATTCCTTACCTCTCCAATCCGTCTTAGGTACTAGCTAGCTGCTGAATCCTTTGGATTCCATGCCTGAATGTGGTTTTATTTTGGTTCATTTACTTTTTTTTTTTTTTTTGTCAGATAGAGTAGTTTTGGCTTCTGAGGAAAGGAAATTATGGAGGCGATTGAAATCTTAGAAATGTGACGTGCATTAGCTTTGGGGCTGGAGAATTAGGTTACTTGCTTCTACATAGAAAGATTGAACATGTATGTCCTTAGTGCAAAATGAAATTGCTTATCCTGAAATTGCTTATCCTGAAATTGCTTCTGCAGAATAGGGATTGCAAATTTAGTTTTCCTTGGGTGTCACTCAAGTTGAGGTTTAGCGTAGATGAATCATCCATGATGTCTAATGTGAATATAGATAAGCGAATTAGGAGGCCTCGTTTTTCTGCCAGTATGAGTTATATGCAATTCATGAGTTACTGGACTCCGAAATCATATTTATTTGCTAGATTAGCTGGGTTGAATCTTCTGCACTCTCTGCATCTGGAGGAGATCGGTGCTCTTGTATCATAGGTGGAGTTGTTAAGATTTCGATAGAAGATTGACTTCAAGGTACATGCCTTAAAGTTGCTGGTCCTTTTCTACAGAATGTCTCCTGACCAAGTCCTGGGTACATAAACACCTCAGTATTCCACACCATATGCATTTACTTAACCAGGGTGTCATAGGAAGCTTACCTTAAGGGCTTGTAAGGATGGTTTCAATATGCTACGCACTCTGGCAAGAATATGAATCCGAAAATAATCCGTTTGAAATTTCTTGTATTCTGTATTGGGAATAACTGTGTGCTTACTATGCCTTGTTGCCTTCAATAAAGGGGAGTAACTGTGTGCTTACTTACTGATATTTTCCAATGCTTAATCTCCTTAGCTGCTGATGTTCACGTCACAATATATTAGTACTAAAACAGAATGCCGGGTTGTCCTCAGGCTTTCAACTTTGCATTTAAAGGTTACTTCAAAGGCTTATTGGGACAGTCGAAGGAGAAAGATGGATACACAAAGTGGTTTATCGGGAATGTCGCTTCAGGTAGTGCTGCTGGAGCCACTACATCGTTGCTTCTCTACCACTTGGATTATGCACGTACCCGTCTGGGGACTGATTCAAGGGGATCCCGTCAGCGCCAGTTCAAAGGATTACTTGATGTGTACAGCAAAACTTGGTCAAGTGATGGCATTGTAGGGTTGTATAGAGGATTTGGGGTTTCAATCATTGGGATAACACTGTATAGAGGCATGTACTTCGGGATCTACGATACCTTGAAGCCAATTGTATTGGTGGGATCCCTGGAGGTAAGAGTTTTCATTCGTACTAATGTGCTTTGCTGTAAGCCTTCTGTGTAGCCTTGAATCTTCTCTTTGTTGAATACTGCTTTGTGAAGCTGTAAATGCTTCTTCTTAAACTTTCTGTCATTCTGTGATGACTACATTTTGTCCTAGGGTGCGTTTGTTTTACGATTTTTTTTAAAAATAAGAGTCTCTCAGCAAAAAATAGAAAAAAAAAGACAACGACAACAATAATATTCGCACAAAAAAAAAAACAACCACAACAACAATAATATAATATAATATAATAATAATAATAATAATAATAATAATAATAATAATAAGTGAATTTCAGTAGACAAGGATGAAATTGTGTTTGTTTGGGTTTTAGAGAAAAACAGAGACTGCGGGACTTGAGATTCTTTTCAATAATAAACAAGTAAACGAATAAAAAGGTAAATAGTTTGTTTAACAATAAAGGAAGCTTTGATTTTTGGAAATCAATTGTAATGCTTATAATTTTAAGATTGTATTCTTAATTCACAGGGGGAAATGCTATGAGATATCTTTTAGATTTTGATGATTTTTGGGTTTTAAGGTGAATAGTTGTGGTAAAAAGTTGCACCTGTGTGTTTGTTTTAGCTTTTTAAGCAATTGCTTCTTTTTTCCTTCTTCTTCAAGTTAATTTATCTTTAAGCCAAAACAAACACAAGGTAAATGTATGATAGCACTTTTCAAACCTGAAATTGAATTACTAATGCATTATATGTTCATTTAGTGGCAAGTTAAATTGACTTGTCCATTTGCAGGGAAGCTTTTTAGCCAGTTTCCTGTTAGGGTGGAGCATCACTACCGTCTCAGGGGTCTGTGCATACCCTTTTGACACCGTAAGGCGAAGAATGATGCTAACTTCTGGACAACCAAATAAGTACCGCAATGCTGTACACGCACTCCGTGAGATCGTCCATGTTGAAGGCTTTGCTGCTCTGTTTCGAGGAGTAACTGCAAATATGCTTCTTGGTGTTGCTGGTGCTGGAGTTCTTGCAGGTTACGATCAGCTGCAGAGAGTTGCGCATAAACGTGGCCATATGTTGGACCACCAAGGCCAAACTGTGCTCAAATGAAAACTCAGGTGCGCGCAGACAGCTTCCACTTCCAGATTTGTGTACATCCAGAAACTGGATCTCTTTTTAGGACGAAACCAAGATGCTTTGAGGCCGTGTTCAGAGCAACGAAATAAGATTAATATTATTGGCCGCGTATCTTTTATTGGGTTGCAAGCATCTTTGATAAGTAGATAAAGATAGCCAATTAGGCATCAGTCATGATCATTGCTTTAATAAGATCAGTCAGTCCAGCGATGGAGGAAGAATTGGAAGATGCAAATGGCTAGCGAGGGACGGATGGTTAAAAGTGAGCCGAGATTTGTAACCATGCCACTTGGGTGCCAAATATGGTGACAATTTAGTGTTATGGGTATAGGTAGCCCAAGAGGAGGATCTAGGAGTATCAACGTTGGTTTTCAGTTTGGAAATTTTAGGTTTGAATCACACAATACCATGTATAAAAATTAAAAAACAAGGTTGTTAACCCGAGATGAACCTGATTCATTGAGAAAAATTAGTGTGAGATTGGTCAAATCCATTTATATCCCGTCAAAATCCTGTAAAATTGTTCGGGTTGACCAGCTGTACAGTTCCCGTGCGGAGATTTCCAAGCTGTCGCCGTTTTTCGCTTTGGCAGACGTGAGTGAGACGATTCAATAAGAGAGAGGGAGGGAGGGAGTGGTCTTAGAGTTCGTAGGATAACAAAGTGTGCCTCAAAAATTCGTCAAGAGTGATGGTTGCAATAGAAGGAGCAATGCAGTCAAAATCGTACATCTGGTGAAAGTTGAAATACAGTATACTCGTACTAAGAAACGTTATCTAGACCTCGAATAATAGAATTTTGGGCCATGATACTATATTCGAACTCTTGATGAGTGAACTCTAAGTCTTAATTATCTAAATCGTACACCCTAAACACTAACATGGTGCATATCAGTTGTTGAATGTATTTCCTTGAATGATGACCGCCGATTGTTCTTCCAAAATTTGATTTTAATGTATAAGAATTATAGGAATAATGCCTAGATTTTAATCTTTAAGGGTTAGAGTATAGTACAATGTCCCAAACTCCGTTCAATTCAAGGTCTAGATATTATTTTATATAAAGAGTATGCAGTACTCCAACTTTAGGAGTCGGTTCGGGTTTGTCTTTCAATTTCGTAACAGGATTTTAGTCGATGAGTCAGTTTTAATGTAGGATGTTTCGATTATTTGAATAATTTAAATTTTCTTATGATATCAACACTTGCATATCTAACATACAATTTTGATAATGTTGTTTACGTGATAGGCGACTGAATCCGGCCAACTGGCCGGACCGGAGACTAGTATGGGTTATGGAGCTGGCCTCAATCATCCTTTAATGCCATTCCTCTCACTACTTGAGAATCATTAGCCTTTTTAACTTTTTCAATTTGGATTAATAAAATTGATAGTGTATGTCTTAATTTTTAAGTTACTTTCATTTGTAATAGTAATATATTCTATTTTGGATAAGTGGTTTAGTGTATTATTATGATTAGTACTTCTAATCTTTTTGTATATGAGGTACCAACTATACCGGTTTATACTCCTTATGATAAGATTGGTTTTTCGACATTTATCAGATTGGAGTATGATGGATTGTACTAGCCTGGAGTGGTGGTACTGATTAGGCGTGTTTGGGTCAACCTGTGCTGCTCTAAGTTTAGTGTTGCCGGAGATATGTACTTTGCGGCTTTTGGGATGCTTCAATTTGCTAGCTAGCTGCAAGTGACCTATGTTGACAATTTGTTTGGGCTAGGATGGCAACGGTGCAAGTATGAGATGGATTTCTCTAAATCATTCTCATTCTTATTGTTAAATACCCAAAACTCATATCCGCACTATACTCTTGCTGAAGAAGGTATTGCAATCCTATCCACATTTCCACAATTTGCAGGCATCCATTAGTAATATCCACCATGTGCATTCAACATTATTATACATAGAATTCAACATACAACTCTGTAATTTTAACACTAACATACCTATTAAATTGTGAAATCAATAAAAATACAACATTTCTTAACCACATACAAGATTAGTGATAGAACCTGTTTTTAGGATTCTATCGATCGGATTATGGAATTGGGATTTAGGGATTAATGAATAGAATTAAGGTTTTGAGAAGAGAAAGATAGAGAATCAGCCTAGACCTTTAGAGGGATTGGGAACGAGAATTGAGAGGATTGGGAGAATAGGGTTTAGGATATTGTTTTCTTAATATTCTTCTTGAGTAATTATAATGAAACTCCCAAGTACACTTATATAGGAAAAGATAGAAAACCTAACAATAATCCTAAACTTAACCTCCAAGCAATGATTTATTCTAATAATTATCTCTAACGTGAATATGGTAATCATAATAGAAACCCGTGGAAAGTAGGTTTCTATCATCCCCTTCCCCTTGAGACCAAGCTTGTCCTCAAGGTTGACCAACTTATCTCGCTACTCAACTCTTCTCGTTCCAGCCAGGTGTCGTCTCCTCCGCGTCGTGCGCTTCCATTTCTTCCAATCTGGTATGAGGACTCACACCGTCGATCTTGTGATTATTCTTGCGAATCGGTCAAGGAACATTGACTTCAAGGATCCACACTTTGCTTCATTTCCCAACAACTCCTCTTTCGTTGGTACCACGATCCAGTAGCTTAAGGAATCCGCATGTGCTTTATGGCACAAGAACTTATCCTTAAGAACCAACTCATCCTTTAGTAGGCAGCCCATTAATTGTTTCTCCACTTATTGTTGGGCCATGCTCTGCAAGCCCATCTGTCAACTCCTTAAATCCATCATTCTTTTCCTCCAAGTCCATTCTCTTTAAAAGGACAACCCATTCTAAGTCCAATTCTTTCCTGAAAACTAAGCCCACGAAAATGCTCCTCCTCGGCCCACTGAACCTCGACTCTCGGCGCATGATCGGCTCGGCCCACCCAGGCCCAGCTCTGTTGCTTTGGCCGCTGTGAGGGTTTGCCCAGAGGAGACCAGCCGCCATCCCCCATCTCCTTCGCCCACAGCTATGTCTTCATCACTTTGTCCGACGATTCCTGCATCGGAGTTGACCTTGTCTTCGGTTGCACCTCCTCGACTGACGACGCATCTCCTAACTCCACCTTCAGTCCCTTCTTCCGCGCCGCGATTGGATCTCTCGATTTCGATGCTATCCGCCGCGACGCGACAGCGATGCTGAGTGGCTGTTCATCGACGAAAATGAATTGGGGCTCGACTGCCCTTGCCTGATTGACGGTCGGCGACGTGATCAGTGGCGACTCGGTGGTCACCTGTTCTTCGTCATCGTGTCTCTGTTCCTTCTTCCTCCGAAATAGCCAGCTCGCCTCTTGACCCGATTTTGATCTCTTTCCCGAACCCTCGGCTCGGGTTTCTTCTTTAGTGGTGAAAGCCCTCTCATTTCCAGAGTCAGCGTCAAGGTCTTCTCCTTCTTCCTCAGCAGCTATTGTGGCTTTGGCGGCCTTGCAACCCTCCCCCACTCCAATCCAGGGAGTTGTGATCTTGGATAGCGCACCTACGGTGGCCGTTGCCGCTGGTGATGAGATGTGTTCGAGCTTGGCATTCATTGCCTGAAACAGCGACTGTTTGTCCAAGATCTCAGCAACCGGGTCTTCTTCTTTCTTGATCCCGTCCGTTAAAGTAGCCTCGGCAGCCGTGTTCTGCTTTTTCTCCTTGAGAGAGCTAGCAACGACTTTTGGTGGTGTTTGGATTTCTTTTGTGGTCGGCGGCTTTGCCACCAGAGGCTTCTCGTCCTCCGTCTTCATCTCGACCGGTTGAGGAATGACTAGCGATGATGGGGATGTCACAGGAACAACAACCGCTATTGTCGCTGCTTTCTCGGCCTTCACGACGACAGTGGTTGGTGGCGCTGGCGTGTTTTTTGTGGCCGTCGAATCCGCCATCAGCACCCCTACGGTCGTTTGGTCTGCCTTCTCGTCGTAGACAGTAGATGTTGCAGCCGCAGGTGGTGATTCAACGGCGGTGGCCCTTAAGCTAATCACGGCTAGGATTCGTGTGAATTCTGCGTCCCGCCGCTCCCAATCTGCCTCTTGTTTGATCATGAGGGCTTCCAGCTTGCAAAGCACTCGTGCAGCACGCGATAAAGGTCCCCGGGTGGGAGTCGTGATGAACTCCGATTTTCGACCATGGCTTTGATACCAAATGATAGAACCTGTTTTTAGGATTATATCGATCGGATTATGGAATTGGGATTTAGGGATTAAAGAACAGAATTAGAATTTTGAGAAGAGAAAGATTAGAAAATCAGCCTAGACCTTTAGAGGGATTGGGAACGAGAATTGAGAGGATTGGGAGAATAGGGTTTATGAGATTGTTTTCTTAATATTCTTCTTGACTAATTAAAATGAAACTCCCAAGTAAACTTATATAGGAAAAGATAGAAAACCTAACAATAATTCTAAACTTAACCTCGAAGTAATGATTTATTCTAATAATTATCTCTAATATGAATATATGGTAATTATAATAGAAACCCGTGGAAAGTAGGTTTCTATCAAATAGTGGCTTTAAGGCTGGCTCCAACTCAAGGAGCTAAAAAGCTATAATGTCATATTTGACTCTTTTTCTTCCTCCAACCCACAAAAAAAAAAAGAGGAGCTAAATATTGGTATTTGTTGTTTAGGAGCCAAATTTGGCTGGATTTGGAGAAGGGAAGTCATATTTGGTTGGGCAAAAGTGGAGGCACTGCGGCGGGACCGCCCCTCACTTTTCTTTTTCTTCTTTTCTTCTTCAATTTTTGATTGGTTGGCTGGCAAAAGTGGGGCCCTGCAGTGGGACCACCCCTTTTTTTTTTCTTCTCTAACCATTTGAATGAGAAATAAATAAGTAGTGACGAAAAAACGACTAATTTTCTGAACTTTTATCTTTCTCGGAATTAAAAAAAAGTTACATAAAAAAATTTATTTTCAAAAGTAATAACTAACTATTAAAAATTTGAAAGTGAAATATAGAAATTAGACCCAAATAAGTGTGGTTTATTGAAATAAATTGAAAAAAAAGGTGGGAAGCTAAATTTAGCTTTTTGTAGGGTTGGAGTGAAAATGAGATTTTGGGAGCTAAAAAGCCATATTTGGTTATTTGGGAGCCAAATTTGGCTTTTATGGGTTGGAGTTAGTCTAAAAGAGGCTAGGTTTAGGTCCTTAAGTCTACTAACTTAAGAATTATCTTAAGTCATTTCTATTGGTTGATAATAATTTAGGTAGTTAATAGATTGTTAGTAGTTAATTGGTGGTTAGTGGTAATAAGTTAATAATAACTAATTAATTAATTAAAATATTAAAAAACTAACAATTACGGCCACACTAATCAGTTACCTCCCTAAGCCCTATTAAATGATGTCCTTGTCAAGCGTGTCAAAACGCAAAATCCAACATATTCGCCTCCGCAAACTTTTCATTCGGCAACCACCACCAGGCAAGCTCCGGCCGATTCTCCTCCTCCTCGCGAGTTTACTCTCTTAGTGTTCATGGATATTTTCTCATCGGAGGTGTTGGTAATGGATAGGTAATGTCGTCGTCGCTCATCTACGATGGAAGCTATGACGCTTAGGATATTGGTGGTTCCTATTCGGTGATATGTTGTTGCGTAATGCGTATGGTGTGAGGTATACGTTGAAAAATGATGAGAAATCATTAATAACGTTATTGTAAAGCATTGATAAGTATATTGAAATCGTTAATAATGTTGGGTAAAAATTAATTTCATATACTCTAAGAATGACAATGTAAATCGATAATAATTGATCACAAAATGTTAATAATATCATTAGAAGTCATTTTAAGAGGTCATGATTGACTAGTTATGGACATGATGTGAAAACATGAATCATTAATAAAGATATTGTAAATCAAATATAATGTTATTCAAATCGTTAATAACGATGTGACATAACTTTAATAATTAATTCTTAAGCGTTGATGATAAAAATATTTATCGTTAATGGTCTAATGTCATTTTTTAATGTTGAAGCCAATTATTGTTAACGTTTTTATTTTATTTTGAACATAATGCAATATTATTTTGAACGTTTTTAATGACATATGATACTTAACATTGAATTTGGTTATTATTAATAATTTTGTGTTGGTTTTCAACGAAATTCAATTTTATTTTCAATGACATGCTCATTCATCATTAACAGTTTTCATTACATGTATTAACGGTTTGATGTCATTTTTAATTGTAATATATCATTGTTAATATTTTTGCTTTAGTTTTGAACGTATTACAACAATCATATGTACTTTTTGGCTGGTATTTGATACTTAACACTGAGTCTAAATATTATATTTTTGTGCTTGTTTTCAACAAAATACAATTTTGTTATCATTGATCGATGATAACGATAATGTAAACCGATATTAGTTGATTGCAAAACGTCAACAACGTCATTGAAAGTTGTAATAAGAGACAATGATTGGATAGTTATGAACATGACATGAAAACATGAATCGTAATAAAGATGGTGTAAATCTATGATAACTTTGTTTCACCCTTTAATGACAATGTGACATAACTTTAATAATTCTTTGATAATTGTTGATGATGGAAATGTATATCGTTAGCAGTTGAACTAAAATCGTAATAGTGTAATTGTAAAACATTGACAAGAATATTAAAATATTAATAATGATGAGATATATAAATAACAATTCATTTCATAAACATTGATAATGAGATTGCAAATGTCAATCATGTCATTGTAAGTTGCCACGGAAAGAAAATGTAGGCATGCTGAATTTAAAATTTTCTTTTTCTAAATGTAAAATATTACTTACGAATTTCCATTTTAAATCCGAATTTTATTAACTATAAATAATGATATTTAATTAATATACCTTATTTACCACTTTAGGTGGTTAGACCTCAATTTCTCTCTTCTTCTCCTATTGGCAATACAAACTTAAGAAACTCCTTAAGTTTTAGGCTTAAGGGCGGGTAGGGATGACAATTACCCACCCATGGGTAATTATAACCAAACCCAAGTAGACCCATTGATAATGGGTTGGGTATGGGTGAAGTGCACATGGGTTTGAGGGTTTGTAGATGGGTGATGGGTTTGGGTAAGGTATGGATATTGCTTCCATAATCTAAATGGGTATGGGTTGGATATGAATATCCATTTACTTGAGGGTGTTTTAACTACACATGCAAAAATTGGACCTATCTATGCATATCTATTAAGTTTAGATACCAAATTGTAATTTGTATTTGGGCATGGGTACAAACCCAAATCCATTTGTTATAAACCCAATCCAAAGTAAATGGGTATGGGTACGAACCCATCAAACTCTACCCATATCCATCTATTTGGATTTCATACCCAACCCAATTGGGTTGGATAGTAAAAAACCCATGTGTATGGGAAAAATTGTCATCCCTAAGGACGGGATGTAGGGGTGGGCATCCGGTTAGGTAAACCCGAACCGGACCGAACCGAGTTCAAACCAAACCGAAACCGAAGTAGTGTTATTCGGTTTGGAATTCGGAAGGGAAATAACCATAATTCGGAAACCAGACCCATCTCAACCGAACCGAGTTTTCGAATTCCGAACCGAGTTCCGAATTTAAACAAATTTGTCCCATGGCCCGCGTTCCCAAGCCCATTCTGAGTCTCCCACGGCCCAATAAAAATACTTCCAAGTCCAGTCCACCCGCATAAAAAAGACTCGATCTAGCCCTCTCGTTCTCTCTATCTCCCCTTCTTCCAGATCTACCAAATAACCATAGAAAAGGAAAATAAATAAAAAATAAAAACCAGTCTTCTTCCCCCTTGGCCTTGGACATCAGATTTGAGATGATTCATATCTCGATCTGCCGCTCTTCTTACTTCTTCCTCTCTTGTTTTGCTTCTCGGATCCCGTCGCCCGCACGTCGTCTCCAACTCCATACCACGTCACCACCTGTAGTCCTCTTCTAAGCAGATCGACATCACCACAACCCTCTTTCTCCTCAGCCACACCAAAAAAAAAAAGGTCAGAATCTCAAAAGGATTCAAAATAAAAAACAAGTGATGGGTAAGATTCCTTAACATCTCCTAAGTCAAAATCAGATCTCTAAAACTGACATGCAATCCAAAAATGACTTACCTTAGTTGAAATCAGGAAGCATAGAGGGAGATTGGCGACAATGCGACTGATTTTCTTTTGCTCTACTGGTTGGAGATGGAGATGGGCGAAAATGAGGTTGTGGTTTCATGGCGGTGGTGGGATGGGGAAGTAAAGGAAGGTGGAGAATGAGAGGGTTAGAGGTTAGGAAGAAATGGGGGGAGAGAGAATGAGAGATCTCCCGTAAAGAAGAAGAAGAATGAGAGAGAGTGTGAGACTTTGTTTGTTGGGGGGAGAGAGAGATCTGTAAAAAAAAAAAGAAGAAGTTGTTTGAGAAAGAGAGAGGGGGAAGTGGGGATGGCAGAATATATGTGTGGGGAGTTTTCGGTTTATGGCAAAAAACCGAGCCGAACCGATTTATATTTCGGTTCGAATTCGGTTGGGTTGTGGGAAGCTTCGAAAAGTCGGTACATACCATTTCGGTTCGGTTCAAATAACCAACCGAATGCCCACCCCTAACGGGATCCAACCTGCTTTAAAAGTTGATGATAGAGAGATGAAGGCTTTTACATGCAAGGCAGAGAGCCAGAGAAGAGAGAGAAAGCGGAAAATGTTCATACCTAAGTCCTAACGGCTAAGTAAGTAAAATAGCTAAAGTGATTCTTACAAACTTACTAACTAGTACCTATTCAATGAAAATGCTTTATATCAGTCCTATTCTTTAGTAAGGCACGCCTTCAACCTATCCGTTGGATGCAAAATTGGTGTTTACAACTCAATTAGGATGCATAAAGAACAACTACTCGAACCTAACCCGTCTATCATACGGAAGCTAATTCGCACATACCAAAGTGCCATTGAGACAAGGGATGCAGATGATGAGCTCCGAACGTGATGTGTCGTTTGCTTGATGGATTGGGTGATGGATTTGAGTATGATTTGAATCTATTATGGACTTTGTTCAAAGTCTATTGTTTGTTTGATGTATTTTATGACAACAAATCCAAGGCCTCATGAACTTTAGGAAAAAATCCCAAAGTACACTAGTTTTTAAAAAAATTCTCAAAATACATAAGTTATAAAAAAAATTCCAAAAGTACACATGTTTCTCATTCACCGTTTTTGACAAACGCAGTGAATACAATCACCGTGTTAGACAAAGACGGTGAACATTTCACCGTTTTAAATTAAAACGATGACGTGTTCACCGTCTTTAACAAAAGCGGTGAAGTATTCACCGCGTTTAACCAAAACGGTGAAGACATCACCGTTTTAGGGAAAGGTGGGGAACA